AGGTGTGCAGCTGTGGCTACCTGCCATTTCAGTCAGACGACATAAACTTACATTATCGATAAATGCAGCACAGTTCTGCAAATGTATTTTCCCTTCCTTATGATTTTCTTAATAACATTTTCTTTTCTCCAGTTTCTTTGTTGTAAGAATACAGTATATAATACAAAATATGTGTTGATTGACTATTATCAGTAAGGCTTCTGGTCAACAGTAGGCTATTAGTAGTTAAGTTTGGGGGGAGTTAAAAACTAAACACAGATTTTTGACCATATAGGGGGTCAATGTCCATAACCCCCACATAGTTCAAGGGTCAACTGTATTCTAACCAGTATCATAGCTTTCCATTTGTTGTGTCCTACAGTGGGGCACAGCAGGTACCAAACGAATGAATAGGAGTCCTTGGGCCTATGAGAACGCTACACCAAAGCACTGAGATAATTTGTGGACAGACTGATGGCAGTGATCTTGAGGAATGAAGAATGGGAGGTTCAAGAACACCAGAGAGAAAGTGGAAGAAGGCAGATTCCACAGAGCACAAAGCTGTGAGCTTATCCAGGATGCAGAGCAAGACCTGGCCTTATTATTACTGAAGTGATGGTTAATGGCACCCCACACCTACTAACCATCACTTCAGCACTGATCATTGAGATCCAGCACATACTCACTAAGGACAGTCATTTCAGACCAACCCACTGCCTTCTTTGCCTGGGCTTGCAGAAATACCATAAGCTGCAGCAAGCAGCTGGAGCTGGGTGGTGGCTGACCCTTCAGAAGTGGTTCTATGTTCTTCCATTCACCCATTTACAGCCCCTGGATTAGCTGACAGACTGAATGACGAATCAGGACTTTACAGTGAAATATAACAGGGATGAAAATAAGATCTTGCACTTGGTTTCAAAAACCCAACTGAGTAAATCCAAGATAGGGAAGGCTGTGATTTAGGAGCAACAAATATAAAAATGTCTTTGAGTAAGCTGATAGCAAGCTCAATGAGAGATCACAGTGTGACGTGGCTGGCAGAATAGTTAGAAGCAACCTTAGCTGCATTAAAGGAACATAGTGTCTGTGCTAGAATAAGGGAGGTGACAGTCCTAATCTGGGGTGGCTGGCCTGCACTACAGCTGTACTATGGTGACTTCTGGAGAGCTCACTTTGAGAAGGTCTGGTAACAGGTCGATCTGCTAGGTATTCTCCATTTCCCCCATCCCCACTGTGATCCATTCTCCGCACTGCTCTGTGCACTATGGAAGCTGCCCCTATATATTGCAGATCCCTTGCTCTGATGGGTTCCCACTGGGTTCAGCCCCAGTAGGTGATGCAAGGGCAAGAAGACAGAGAACATGCAGAATGTGCATTTCTTGTGCCACTCTCTTCTTGCTCTGTCTGCACATTTCTGACAGTGGCTGCATCCCTCTATGACTATAGTTCCAGTCCAGCAGCCCCTCGTCCATAGCCCCAGTTTGTAATAGGTTCCAATTTGCTTCCCTTGTCCCTCAGGCCTCTGAGTGATTAAGAGCTTCCCCCTGTTGCTAGCCCCTAGGGACCTCAGCATCCCGTCTTAGTTTCCTTAACCCTGCCCACAGCTCTGTCAATAGCCCCTTCACTAAACTATTTTCAAAATCTCAACAAATTGGCCTTTTTCCTGCAGGGACCCTGACTGAAACTAAAGAGAAAGGATGCAAAAGACCTTAAAATTATGTCTGTGAGGAATAGAGGATGTTGGGCCCAGTGGCGAGAAGACTCAAGAAAGCAGGATAGCCTACTTCAGCAAGGTATCAATAAAAGGCCAACACAGACTCATTCTCTGGCTCCAACAGTAATAGGTACAGAGAGATACATTTTGGGCTAAATATAAAATAAACCTTTCTACAGAGTAGGTAAAGATGGTTCTCCTGGTAGCAGATATTTTTTATTGCATGAGCTTCAATATTTCTCAGTTGCCCCATCTTAAACCAGATGAGACTATGTCAGGAATGCTGTAAGGAATAAGTTAGAAACATGGTCTAGAAAAGAGCTTTCCAAGCCAGGGTTTCATGATTTGCCACCAACTGTACACTACTCAGTGGGTTACCAAAATAACCAATGTGGGGAAACTTTCGTATGTTTTTGCTGCTTCTCGTTTCAATCTAAAGAACAGAAGTCTAGTTCTTCAAGTCTGATAATCCTGAACACTGAAGACGTTTTTATACTTTAAGATGACTCACAAACATGAAACATTTTACACAGCATCACAGCTTTCAAAAGGTTATTTCCAATTCACGGGCAATCTATTAAAAACATTTTTTAGGGGGCAAGAGAAGTTGATTAATGGTTACAAATATACCATTTGATAGAAGACGACCTAGTGTTAGATTGGTAAAATAACTATATTTTACAATAACCTCTTGTATATTTCAAAATATCTAGAATTCCAATGGTCTAGCATAGAGAAAAGGCAAATATTTAAGGTGATGGATATCCCAAGTACACTGATTTTGTCAGAGGCATGTGAACCAGAGCAACTCCATCTTGAATGGGGCTAGGTAAAATAAGGCTGAGTGAGACCCACTGGACTGCACTCCCAGAAGGTTAAGGCATTCTAACTTACAGGATGAGATAGGATGTCGGCACAAGATACAGGTCATAAAGACCTTGCTGATAAAACAGGTTGCAGTAAAGAAGTCGGCTAAAACCCAAAACCAAAATGGCGATCAGTGCAGACACTGGTCTTCTGCATTGATACACTCCCACCAGTACCATGACAGTTTACACATGCCATGGCAACGTTACCCTATATGGTCTAAAAAGAAGAGGCATGAATAATCCACCCCTTGTTTAGCATACCATCAAGAAATAACCATAAAAATGGACAACCAGCATCCCCAGGCTGCTCTGTCTATGGAGTAGCCATTCTTTTATTCATCTACTTTCTTAATAAACTTGCTTTCACTTTACTGTGTGGACTCATCCTGAATGCTTTCTTGTGTGAGATCCAAGAACCCTCTCTTGGGGTCTGGATTGGGACCCCTTTCCTGTAACAACTTGAGCTTTACATATTATATGAATGTATTAATCACATGTGCCCCAAAACTATGTACATCATGCATCAATTAAAAAAATGTTTAAAACAAAAAATTTTAACTCAGCAACTTCTATCTACACACCAATCTTCTATCTACACATCAGTGCTTCTTGAGAACTGCCACCTCAGTTTTCAAACCAAAAACCAGGACGCAAAATCTGCCCATGGGCAAAAATATTCTACATGCAAACTACCCTGAAAAAAAAAAAAAGAATAAGGTCGCCTCAGTTCACTCTGGTGGGGCGGGGGGAGGCCCACGACGATGTTTGTGTCTCACGCAGGTTTTCTCCTTTGGTGGGGGTTTATCGTGTATTACACCGAGGGCATGCTAGGTTTGCCAGTTTTTCGCTCATTCATTCAACAAACACTCGATGTCCACCTACTCCATTAACAGGGCCCTTCTCGGCCCTCGGGATGGACAAAAGATCCGAAGAGGCCAACGCCACGACGCCGCTATCAGAGGACGTCAGCAGGTCCAGGAAACGACCTGATTTTAAGGACCAATGAAGTCAACGAGTGAGAGTGACGGCGCCCAGGAAAGTTGCGGCGGAAACTTGGGAAATGCCAGCCTTCGGGCGCAGAGGGCGGGGCAGGGCCTACCGGATCGCGCTGCCTGCGGTCTGGGGCCCCG